ACACACACACACACACACACACACACACACACACACACACAAACACACACACAGAAAATCCCGTAACAATATGCGTTTTGTACTGCTGTTACACAGCACAAAACGCATAATAAAACAGCAAATATGCCAAGGCAAAGTGCAACAAAACAAGAAATTTTGGGTGGAAAAATTGTTACCAGAAAAGCGTATTATAAACGTACTTGAAGTGTCTGTGATGCTGGACACCGCATGACCGGCTTCTTGCATTTGTGCTGCATTTGCGCCTGCCTCACTAACGCGATATAATTTATAACTGTTATTCTCGGCGACAGCAATGTGAGTCAATTTTCCCTCGTTGTCGAGCAGTCGAATAATCGGTGGTACCGCTCTTGAAGCACCGGCTGCAGTCGCCGGTTGCGGGACAGCATATGACGATACGTATAGCTGAGAACCAGCCGCTGCATCCTCGCCGTGCCTGGCCGACTGCGACGTTCGCTTGCTACAAGCATACATGCTGAAGCTTTTTGAACAAGCTGATCGCATTTTAGCGAGCTCTCATATGAGCCATGAGCTCACTGAAAAATATGAGTAGCAGCAGCGCAGAAACAAATCAATGAACCACTTGGACGGCCTTGGATTGCCCAACCCAGCCTAGTACCCATGCCTGTTCCACGTATGATATGCCAAACAAGCAGTGGCTATTAAATCGAGGTAGGCAATTGAAGATCGAAGGAGCTGGCATAGCTGCGCCTGATGCGTGCTTAAAAATAAAACTATTCAATACCTATGGCATTATTGCACCATTTTGTGCAGTAATGACGGCGGGATTGAACAGGTCGTTTCCTCACTTACCCTATGTTACCGCTAATCTATTACCTTCCATTCTGTAGGCAAAAAAAAAAAAACTAAGAAGGATAGAACTTAAGTGAGGACTGCTAATAATTAGGTATCAGCGAACTTTAACGTATTGCCACGACGAAATGAAGTCGTACTAAAAGAAATTTATGCCAAGAAAAGCCAGGCTGGTCATTTGATAGGCAATATGAGTCTTGACACTGCCTGATCCACTGCTAATCATACGCCACGATTAATGGCCCGGGTCGAAATTCTGTAAGAGAATGAAAACATACTGTTTTTTACAGATGCATCATTTCGAATCCACCTAGTTTCAACACTAATTTTACGTCGTTCACATAAACATGAATTTTTTTTTATGTATTCCGACCGTTTTGCTGTAAAAAATACGCGTCTGTAGGATTCGCTAATTTTGCGAGTTAGGGCATCATTTTCAATTCATAGTCGCTATGATCAACAAAACTGATATGCAACCAACTTCTTCCCCGCTTTCGCATTCGTCCTCTCTCGAACAGCACCGCCGTCCACTACATTTTCTCTGTTGTCAGCTTTCTGAACTTGAGTAGTTTTGCTTCGAGTACGATCGGAAATGGCAGACTTGCTTGCGGCACTAGCCACGGGGAGAGTCTTCGGCGCTTTGTTGGCTTTGCGAGCTGACTCATTTGCAGCCAGTTGATCTTGTTTCTAAAATGACTGGAATTAAAAAGCACATCGCCATACCCGTCACGCATGCTCACTTCCTGAACAACCTTCCCCGAAATCAAAAAAAAAAAAGCTGAGAAACAAATGCAAGCAATAGCAACAACAACAAAAATTGGCCAAA